ATCCCCACCATTGGATCTCAGAAACCATAAGGGATACAGAAATGGTTAGAAAAAATACACCTGATGATAATTTTACGAAAACGAAACGTCGGAGAAAATTTCTAGTTATGTCATTACATTTTTCATAAAAAGTTGTCTTAAGAATGTTTTTTCAGATTCACGAAAAAACGAAAAATAAAGAAATTATAGTCAAAAAACGAAAAAGGCATTTTTTTGTTTTTCGGCCATATTTTAAAAACCAAACAGGTTAGATCCAAAAACTTAGTTGAAAAATTATGAGCTCTAAGATACGGAACTTTTCCCCCATTTAACCATTTCTATATCTCTTATGGTTTCTGAGATCCCAATGGTGGTGGTCGAATTTGAATTACCCTGTACAAACTTAACTGATTGGCAAGGGTGAAGTTAAGACAATCGTCTTCTTTTCCACTCAACCCTGCCATAAAAATAAACAAAATATAATAAAAAAAACAAAAAAATGAATAAATACAAAACAAAACTAAACGAGGTACAAATAAAACTAATAATAATAGTGCACCAATAAAAAATAAAACGAAAGAAAAGATTTTTAAAGATGGTAAGACAATGCAGAACCAAATCATCGCATTCCACGTGTCCCACCCTGTATCTGATCACATTGTTCTCCATATACAAATTTTTGGATCTTTACTTTAAACGATTGCAAGCTCAACATTTTCAATAATTGGGGTAAACTATTATAAAATTTAGGTAAGTTGAAAGTGAATGATCTGTCAAATAATGTAGTAACATGTAGCGGTGGTGTGACAATACCCTTGCTTCGAACATTTAAGCTATAGACATCAGTGCGGAATGTAATCTTATCATACAAATAAGATGGACATTTAAGCAACAGTAACTTATGATAATATAAAACCATATGGTATAAGTGACGGTTAAACATATTCAGTTACCCAAGATCGATCAGCCTGTGTAAGACATGGCACCCTCGTCGAAGCCCGAAAATCATTCGGAGACAAAAATTCTGAACACACTGAATCCTTCGTGATGTTTTTGAGTTCAGACAACTATGATATACTAAGGAATCGCAAAGCATAACCTTTGTGCTGCGATTTAAAATATTCCTCATGCTATATATGAGCTTCAAAGCAGCAAATGAAATTTTTGTTTTGTCCAGGATGTGCTTTTCGAACCTAAGATTCGAGTCGAACTGTAATCCTAAATTTCTAGCACACTTCCTAACACCAACACATTTACCACCAATATTGATTTTAAAATTTTCTGCATGATAGTCTCGTGCATCCCGCCTGCCAAAGAGCATAACCACTGATTTATTTGAATTTACCCGTAACGAGTGTTTAGTGGATACATCTATCAGATTATTTATGTCCTCGCTCAATTTAATTTGAGCAGTGGGCATGTGCGTAAGCAGGAACGATAGATAGATTTGGGAATCGCCCGCATAAAAATGAGGCTCTGAATATTTCAAAACTGTCGAAAGATTAGAAGCGTAGATACAAAACAGTAGAGGCCCCAAGATAGAACCCTGTGGCACTCCTGACTTTAAGTCTCTCAGTTCAGATCTCCGATTACCCAATTTAACCGCTTATTGTCTGTCTGACACATAACTATCAATCATGCTCATAGCAGAATCATTGAACCCAATAAAGGATAAGATAGCTGATAATATCCTATGATTGACATATACCGTATTTTCTCGAATCTTATCCGCACTCGAATCTAATCCGCACCTCGATTTTAAAAATGCAATGATGGTAATAAAAGTTGGTTCTCCAATGTAATCCACATCCGATTGTAATCCGCATTTGATTTTAGAGCATACAAAATTTGTAAAAAGGGTGCGGATTAGATTCGAGAAAATACGGTATATGTAGTCTAGCAGAACTAATCCAGTAAGCCTATTTTGATCCGCCGCAAACAATATGTCATCAACTATATGCGTTAATGCTGTATCGCAACTGTAGTTAGCACGAAATCCAGACGGTGTCCTAGGCAAAATATTAAGTTTATCCCGAATTTGATCATTCATAATTTTTTCTAATACTTTAGACAAAACAGATAAAATACTAATTGGTCGCAGGTCCGAAAATGTCATAGGATTTTTAATGTTTGCCAAAGGTGTTACTAAAGATTTCTTCCAACATTTTGGAAAGATTGACCTCCCTAAGCATATATTAATAATATCATCACAACCGAGAGTTCATCATATCCCATACTGTCAGATTTGATATTTAACAAATGGCCCGCTACAATATGCTCCGAGACAGGCACAAAAACGAACAATTCATTAGAGTAGACTTCTTCGTAGTAGTATAAACCTGAATTAAGTCTGGATCAGTGACCATTGAGTTTTCAGCAGCTTGTAAAAAATTATCATTAATGCCTTCAACGTCATTCAAATGTTGTGGAAGTACCTGCTCTTTTGATTTGGTAATATTCAGATGCCTTAGTGATTTCCAGAGATCCCTGTGACTTTTATTTTTAAATGATGATTCATAGTACGCCTTCTGCTCGGTCTCTATGTTTTCTAAAAGATTTATATTCATTAAGTATATTCTGCAATGAAACTTATAGTGACACCTGTGACGAAGATTGGATAAAATGGCAAGTGAGTCTTTTGGTAAATGTTTTCTAATTTAATATTTTGTTATAAAAATTTGTTATAATTTTTTTTGTGTAGATACGTTCGTTAAAAATTTAAATTTGTTTGGTATAATTTTATGGCCTGTTTTATCATAACATGATTCACTTGCCCTGCTCTTCCCTAATATTAACAGTATGACAAAAATATTTTGTCAGTTATGTCGAGATTTTACTGTAATTTGCATCTCACATCGATCTGGTAAGATGAATAAGAAAGTTTGTGGTCCTTGAACGAAAACAGTTTTAGAATCTCAACATCGGCAAACGTTTCTCTTATACGGCACCGAGCCCACCCTTTCGTTGTATCGAATAAATGCGATACAATTTCAATACGAAATAGGGAGCGTAAAGGGAAATGGACTCACCACGCACGAGCTTTTAGCTTTATAACGTACTGGGACAAATTTTACTACTTCACAAGGCTTTTAAATTGCTTCTCCTCGCACACCGAGAGAAAAAGCGATTTGGTTATATCGATTTCTTTTTCTAAAGATTTTTGAACCAACTATACATTTAAAGTTATAAAATATTGGGGTTGAGCTTGTACTCGAACGGTTTGTGAAAACCACTCAGGGCCATTTAGCTGCGGTCCGACGGTTTCACAGTAATAACGCCATCGTCCACTAGGGTCTGCGTAAAAGGGGAGAGATGAATACATTATCATCTGTTAACACTCAGTGTAATTGTCGCCTCTTTCCCCCTACACAGACGTTTCAATTAACTAAATGTTCCGCGATTTACCTGCTACACAGCGGTCCATTTGTCTTTGGAACCCCCTTAATTTGAATTTAAATGACACAAAAAAGACAAAACAAAACTAAAGAAAACGATGAGTTTGTTGCGACAACCGAGCAAAGACAACGTAACGGGGGTTTCTAAACCCGAAATCCTCCGTAATCAGTCCATTAGAGAAGGAGATGTGCTCGCGCAAACGGATCCCTTTAAAACCCATTATGGTATTAGCGTCCCTTCTGTTAATATTACGCCCGTTGATGTCGCTGTCATGATGATAGATTTCCTGAATTTATAATTTCCGTTCCCAACACTCATCGGAAACAAGAACGCAGACGACATCATAATTATAATTAGAGTAATTAGACTTTAATAAAAATTTATTTTTAGAATTTTTCGAAGCGTAAACTAAATTTGAGTGTTTGCTAAATTTAACTTTTTCGTTCTCTCTGTGGACCAGCATCGATAAACAAAATCGGATTAAAAACAAACACGTAATCATTTCGGATCCCAGTTTTAATCGTAAGGCCCCAGGGCTCGGTGTCTGCCCCTCGAAACTTCATTTAAATCAAGTGCGTACATCAGCGAATGTGGCAACAGCATCTCTTTCCCTCTCAACCCGAAAACCAAACTCTCTTACTCTTTCCCTCTTTAGAAGGGTGTTCATTACAGAAACGGTACCAGATTAATATGGGCTTCGTGCTGATATAGTAATAACAGCAATAAAACATTTGTAACAATCACCATGGAGTTTTACTCCGATGAGGGTTGGTTTAATTTCTACCCTCCACATCAAAAGTAAGAAATGAATCAAAATTTTAATATTTATTTTCTTGTTATATCGATTTGTATCCCAATTAGGAGTAACAAGACGACAAAAAGACGATGAAATATCTCGTAAATAAATCAATTGCCCCCATAAAAATAGGAAACCCCGTTATGTTTCAGTTAGCGAAGCCATTCCCAGTCCCTCTACCCGCAAAAATGGGGGGTTGGGGATCGCAACTAAAAGCGAGATGGGGACCTTGGACGGAAGATAAAGTGCGAGAAAATAAAATTCGAGTATGACAAAATACGGCTCTGATTTATGACGATCCCCCTCCTCTTTACAGAAAGAAGAAGCACTTTCTCTACGGTCGAGATTTTTGCACGAACCAAGGGTGAAAAGAGACACGACCGGGACAAGAAGAAAAGCTCTTACGTAACAACCGGATATTTAGTCGTGTAAGTTGTTCTCGGAATTCACATCACGTTCGACGTTTCGACACTTAATGCCATCTTCGTTGCGTAATTTCGTCACGTGATCTTATTCTCCCCTTACTTTCCATCTCCGTCCTATTTTATTTTATTTTATCTTAACTTTCGAAAAAATTTAAATCAAGAAATTGGTGTCTATAGAAATCAATTGAAACTCAATATCCTGATAAAACACTTGTTGAGACTCAAGACTTTTCGCCTTGTTTATCTGTAAAACACGGTCGTGCTTTCCTCGGGGGTATAGTAATTCTGCACCCCGAGGGAACAATCCCCTTTTCGTCGGTTCCACAACAGCCTCATGATTTTCCGAAACATACCAATTGATTGCATAGCAACACGAAATATCGAAAATAGTCGAATAATGCCAATCGTAAATTCAGTCAAGAAAACGTCAAAAAATTCTAGTGTAGGGTCTTGTAATTTTTGTGGAGGATGGCGAGTCATCAACCATAAATCTAAGCTTATTTCTTATCGCTACGAACCAGCGAAAGCAGTCGGAACTTTATTCGTTGGAATGTTATTTTCGGAAAATTGTACACGTTTTAGGGATTATCTTGATTACATTTAGAGTACACATAAAATTTATTTAAAAAAAATGGATTTTGAATGGGGGATTTACTTTTTCGTTGCGTTAGGAGCTGCTCTAGCGTTTTGTACATATCGATTTATGGTTAGTACAATACTTAAGATGTTAAGCTAATTTAATTTAATTTTATGTGTTTTAGACTGGATATAGGCATATAATTTAAATGTACTCAGTTTGTGAAATAACGTTGTAATAAAGAACATTTACATAATATTGGGTTTCTATTATTAAAATTTAATATTCTTACCTTATTGACGAATAAAGTTTTGAATCAATGTGGATTCATATAAAAAATAATGTAATGTAAAAGATAGTCTGTTGGCTTTGAGACATCTTAGCTTTATTGAGCTTCAGTGACCCCTAGGTAGTAATCTTAGCTGATTCCTTCACTTCAAAATAAACTTTTAACGCAACATTTTTAGATCCATATGAGGATGAACCCGGAAAAGTGAGATATAAACGATCATTCATGCGAGTGCTTTTAATGCTGTTGTGAATTCCAAAGCAATTAGCCAGATGTTCAATACCTGTATGAATTGATCATAACATCAGACGTCATTTGGAATTACGTTAAGGTATTAAATCCTAATATTGTGTGAGTAGAAAACTCTAAACATATCAAACCAATTATGGAACTTTGATGGAACAATTATGGTATTCCAACCAATCAATATTCACAATATTTACAATTCGAATCATATAGCAAAATTTAATTTTTCTATGTTGATGAGAAATTTATATTTGATTGATGTTGGTTACAAACGCTAAGATAGATTTTCGAAGATCCGCATGGAATGGAGGAATTCTTCATCGAATCCAGTACAAGAACGAACCATCACTCACAACAGAAGATATATGGGAGGTGGAAATTTGAAGAATGGATAACAACTTGGATACACACAACATGGTGGTGAATGCATTGTTGACAGCAAAGCAAAGAAACTGGACGGAACTGGTACAACATTACCATACACAATATCTTCATAATATAGGTTTCAACAAATCAAAAATACTTGGCAAAATACTACTACATCAATAGAGAAGGTTTGAAACTCGGTCGAATGAGTAAGTTACTATGGAACTCAATGAAAGATTCCTCAACTCCTCACTGAACGCGATGATTAGCGAATAATAATTAATTAATTATTTACTTGTTTACTTGTTTGAATAGTCATTTTTGATCTTGTTTCCGAAGAACGTTGCAATATGGTATCAGAAACGTCAAACAGTGTTTTATTAGGTCCATAACTCGGAATTCCTATCCTTGTCCCTATCATAACATATTGCTCCACCCAATCACTAATTATACCTCGATTTGTTGGCATCAATTTTTTTGTTGGCATAAAGCAAATAATGTCAATTTGTTCCCAAAAAATTCTAATTTTTTCTTCTATGGAAACTACTACATTTAAATAATGATAAGGGACTTTCTTAAATAAATTACAGCTTTTATGAAGTGTCAAATATATTTAAATTCTTGAGCAGAAACCTACCAAAAATTCCAAAAAACTTCTCCAATCAAGAATTCTTATCCTTGTCCCTATCATAACATATTTCCTTACACAATCACTAATTATACCTTGATTTGGTTATGTGATAGATATATTTCTTCATCTTATAGGGCATAATGAAGAAATCACTTTGATCAACCCTCCAGTCTCAACTAACTGAAGGAAGCAATAAGCTAAAGGTAGAAAGAAGGGCATTCAGGGAATGAAGAAGTCATGGCTACAAGTGGTAACGATGGTACAGAAAGGAAACATACATATTTCTATCAGTAAATCAAAGGTTATCAAAAATTACAATCTCAGCGTGAGTAGAGTGGATAAAATCTAGGAAGCGGATGTTCAGGTTATTCATGAATGTCCTAGGTTTGGCAAATACAAACTCTTGGCTGGAGTATCGAGAATAAGTCTCGAATATTGATATTTAAATCTGAATTGACTGACTACATTTATGCCACTCATGACACTATACTGCTGAATGACTAATATTTTCCAGAAAAAAAGCCACAAAAGTAACATCATTAGAAACTTATAGTAAATAATAACCTAAATTACACTACAGTATAATAAATGTGAGAAACTAAAGCACGTGCAGTTTTTCAACCTACGCCAATGTGGTACTAAGGTAAATAATATGACAAATTTTGATTTTAAAAATTCAATAAAAATATAAAATTAAGAATCATTATGGAAATGCATAAAGACGGCCATATCAACTACTCATTTCTTCTAATGGAAAACCAATATAACAAAATCTACATTATTTATCATCATTTTGACATTGATTACATTTTCAATTTAAGAGTCATGATTGCAATGTTTTGGGTTTATTTTATTTACTTTATCAAGCCAAGGTTGCTGGCTGCTGAGACACCACGTCGATTGTATTTTACCTTTCAAAGCAATCAGGATTGTGCAATGATCGTTTGTATAAAAGAGTTTTGCATCAATAACAAAAAAATGTTTTATACCATATTTTCTTGGCTGGTAATATTTTGACCTAAGTGATAACGAAATTTGCAGTTTTTATTAAGTTATTACTATTCCATCTTAGCGCATTATATTATATTGCGATGGTAACTGAAAGTTTTACTACAAAACGCAATGAATTTCAATCCAATAATAAATTGTTTTCAATCGAATTTTACAAAATATAAAATTTTAACATAAATATTTAGGAATTTTGCAATATTTGGATTTCTTCGTTTTTGAAGGTTAATATAATTTTTTAACAATTAACACTAATTACACTAAGAGTATTGAAATTAAATTATCAGGCTTCGTGTATCATAATCACTAGTTCACCCAAATTTAGCTTATTTAGAGATATTGACCTCAAGCGTAGTAAAAGATGTTCCAGTGTGTGTATTTTGTGGCAGAAAAACTGAATCGACATTTTGTACAACGTTACGTAGTTATCGGTGTGTTTCAAAAACTTGACATCTTGTATAGTGCCAAGTTGTGACACTTACATCACAAACGTTTAGACCAGTTTAGACATACAAAGTTTAGTATACTAAATAAATTTTATCAAATATCAGATTAATGGAGATTTTAGTACCAGATTTTAATACTAAGTCAAGATGATTTCATTAATTTTCAATTTAAAATTATACCATGATTTTTTAAATGATGATGCTGTCACATCTTCCAACCGAACAGTAATAAAGAACATACAGGAATTCTAGTATGTTATCAAGAATTGAAAATTCTTCGAATCATTATGTTGTCCAATATTAGTATAACCATTTCATTAGATACCAACAATAATAGTGTTAGGAAGTTATTGTCACGTGAATTGTTTGTTCCGAAATCGATAGTCACATTTACCTACACAAGCATTCAACAATATTATAGCTAAAAAGGAATTTAACCAGCATTCCAGTAATTATATATGACTTTTTTTCAACCAAAAATCTGCCCACCTGCATGTTATGCAACAGAGTTTAAAGTAATGATATTAACGAACCATTCAAAACCAAGGTAATTTGACAAGAAGGAAATTACGATGGAGCATTTCAATGCCAAAAAGGGACGATGATAGACTGCGAGTATCTTAGAATTCTTATCTTCCTACTTATAGCAAAATTTCTAAAGCTTCATATTAGCATTGATAAGTTGGTTCTGCCAGTAATTGAAAAGATTTTAAAAAGTATTCTACTCAAGCCATATATACTTGCAAGGTATTTCTTGAGCAATAATACAGATCAAAGGCGTGTAGATTAATTAGAAGTTAATTTTCAATTGTAAGGTGGTTGTCTAAAAACGTAAGACTTCTCTATGACAATTTTCCACCATATTAGAAAACTAGGACATTTGAAATTTGTATCTTTTTATGGTGGTTTTCATCTATATTGTTTTTGACACCAGAATTGCTTGTATATGAACTCTACCTTTCGTTCTTAGTTGGTGCTAATTTGGTATGCATTAATTGATAAATAGTATTCATGGTCAACATATCTTCAAATCAGGTTGTTAAGTTTAAGTGATGGACCAAAAAAAGATTGAACATAGAGTGACGTCCTTCTCTATGTTCAATCTTTTTTTGGTCCATCACTTAAACTTAACAACCTGATTTGAAGATATGTTGACCATGAATACTATTTATCAATTAATGCATACCAAATTAGCACCAACTAAGAACGAAAGGTAGAGTTCATATACAAGCAATTCTGGTGTCAAAAACAATATAGATGAAAACCACCATAAAAAGATACAAATTTCAAATGTCCTAGTTTTCTAATTTTACACAACGAATTTATTGGCGTTGTAGATACCTTTTTGGCACTTTACATAACAAGGCCAACACAGTGGGATGTAAAAGTGGCATATATTAGAAGATCGCCAAAGTGAAGTGCAACAAATGTGATTATTTTCCGTGTTTGAGCTTTTATGATCAAAATAAGTATCTTTTAATGTTGATACAACACTTACTTACATAATTTTTTTTGGCATAAAGCAAATAATGTAAATTCTAATTTTTTCTTTTATGGAAACTACTACATTTCAATAATGATAATGGACTTTCTTGAATGAATTACAGCCTTTATGAAGTGTCAAATGATATTTAAATTCTTGAGCAGAAACCTACCAAGAACTCCAAAAAACCTCCCCAATCAAGATATGAACTTTTTAGATACAATTATTTAAAAACTCTTTGGGACATAAAGCTTAATTAGATTCACCCAAAAGCTTTTTCTTGTGATATTTTCAAATTTAAGTTCAAAACTTTTAGATTAAACTTTTACCGGCACCTCCACCATTTTGATTTCCCCCCCAAATTAATCTATCAGTTATTAAAAAAATTTCTTGCGTAACTAACTTACCAGCTATAAGCATTGGACTTAATGGCGTTAAAGGATGAGAAACCTGGCATGTTGAGGATATTTCTTTTCCCTGTTAGATGTACTCAAATGTAGCACCACATCTACCCATCACCTATATCAAAAAAAAAAGAACTTTTTACCCAAATTTCTCGCAAAAAAAAAAGTTTTTTTGTTTTTCTTACCCTTATAGTAGGTGACGTCGTGCACCCTTCCGACGTATCAGTCTCCAAAACCGTGTTCGTTTGGAGCCCGGAGCAGATAGCTCCAAACAAAATCCGGGGCGCCGGCTCCGTGGCGTCCCTACTATTGGCGCCCTGCCACTGTAACAAGTCCGAACACGCACGCCGTTACGTTGCAACTGTGTGGGTAAACGGGGGTGGCCTCCAACCGCCTTCGAGCTGGGGCGTGGCTTGGAACTCCGCCGCACATTGTTTCAAATTGGGGGGCACGATCACGGTCGCATATATACATTTTGGGAAATCCCGCGCCCCCCCGAAGTTACCCTGTCCTCCGGGCGGCCATTTTGGAAATCGCGGCGATTGTTTTCGAGATCTCATTAACTGATTTCGCTGACTGCCGCTTAAGGACCCGTTTAGTGAATTTAAATTAAAGTACGTGGACGTCGTGTTGGGGAAAACGGGGGGATGAAGAAAGTAGGAGGAGAGCGAAAATTGGGGTGGAAAGTTTCTTCCTCTTCCTCCGATAGACCACTCCTTCAATTGGGCTCTGTAAATGTTAATTAACCCTCGATGCTAACTACTGTTTTGTATTTTGTATATTTTTTTTGTATAGCTTTTATTTATAACCTTTTTGTAACGTTTTTTTTTGGGTGGTCGTTTTCAAAACGTTTCGTGGTAATAGTTAATAGAAATTTCATTTTTAATTGATTTTACATTCCCGTCGCCTCCACCAAAATTTTTTTGTGAAATCACATTTACATATTGGATTATATTAAATATTTCTAACATTTAAATCTACACTCAATATCTTACCAATAATGCAATTTTTTTTAATCTTCATGTTCAATGCACAAATTCAATTTAAAATTCTAGTTTACACTTGTTTTCAATTCCAAATTTGGTACTCGTCTACCTCCACCTTTTTAATGTATGTATAGATATGCATTTAATGTGTGGGATGTACTTAATCTCGAGGATTAACTATCGTGTTCCAAGAACAATTAGTGATTCAAGAATTAATGTCTCGTTACTACGCTATTAATAAAGTTGTTCTTTTTGAAAAAAATTACGATTTCCGTTACTACAAATGGTACAAAATTTATTATTATCCCTTCGCGCTAGTTTTATTCGCAATTTAATATACAACACCGTAAACTGAGATCATTAAACCGTCTGGGGCTACGTTTTTTTGGTTCTTAATATATCGGGTGGGATCATAAATTTTCAATTAAAAGACATTTATGATGGGAACAAGGACGTAAATCACCAACTACATGGCGTGGTTCGTTCTAAATGCGACATTTTTCAGTACGAACCCACTAAATATACAGTCTGTGAGCCGAATTTAAACTATGTCAACTATGTAGGTCGGGCCTTGTATATAAGCTAAGTATTGATCCCACTGAGGCTAGTACACTATGTACAAACGTTTCTCCAACTTTAACATGATGACATTTCTGTTTGACCATCAAAGCTACTGTAAATCCAACAAATCCTAGTTATTAATATAAGTTATTTTTGGAGCAAAATCGTAAAGTCGGAATTATCAAAAATGATTGATAGAGGTATTTTCATCTTTTACCGGTACAAAACGGCCGACAAACAATGAAAAGAGAAAAACGAGGGATGAAGGCATAGGGTTGTAATATGGACGTCGATATGAAGGGGTGCATTTTTCAAGAGTTAATCTGGAAGCCAAAGTACCCTGAACGGCCCGATAGGGGGAACGCTAAGCGGACTCATCAGTTTTCAGTGATTTTCAAATGAACGACCTCTTACCTTCCCACAAATTTCATCCCCAAGCTTTTAAGCAGTATCGAACTTTTATAATATTAATACATAAGTTATAATATAACTAAAAAAAATTTTCTTGAAATTAGATAATGTTAAAAGAAAGAAAGTTTGTAAATCTTAAAATCTTAGAAGAACTTAACTTTTAAACCATCCCCAAAAAAGTCAACCACCGTGACAAAGGGGGATTTTGTCGCGGAACGTTAGCCGTGATTCTCTGGCAGTAGATCATTCTTTATTAACACCGGGATGAAGTTATCCCGCCAGCTTATCACGGACGATAATTTCCACACGGTTTCACTTCGCACCGATCGCACTTTCACCGAAGAGGGTGAGAGGGTGTGGGCTGTCTGTTTTTGGGGTTGAATATCAACAAACCAACCGTGTACACCATTACAGATCTATACTCCTAATTTTCATTTCATTAATATTGAAGATTTATATAATATTTGGATTATCTTATAATTATTTCATATATGTATAACACTAAATTTTGAAATTTTGCGTCCATCTTCATAAACAATCTAAAACTACTAAAAGAGCATTTAACATAATAGACTAGAAATAGGCTTCTACATAAACCAGTATACATCATCTTCTAATTATATATACTACAGTGAAAGTCCTACATTCTATGATAAAGATGAAAATACAAAATAAATATTGCGAAATATCTGCCTGAATGCGTAAATCTACTGTCGGATATAGAAGATATCGACGAACTTGAGCTTGTGTACTTTGCGTAACCTGAAAATGTTCCAAGGACTTCATAGATCCATTGAAACGGAATATAACTAACTACTTTATAGCTTGTAATGCCGAAGACAAAGATTTTTCAAATGTGAACACAAAAAACATCCATCTCCAAAAATAAAATACAAAATTTGAAGCTTTTAACGGAGAATCTAACAATTCTCCAAATACATTTGATCTTATCTATGTTTTGCGATCACACAACACTGCCTTGCCAACTCAGGGCTCTCTATATTGGCTCCAATATACAAAAGAGAATACTTTCTGCCAACAGAGCCTAGTACGCTAACAAAAAGTTGATCTGGTCTAGAATCATTTGCAGAACAACCAAAATCAGGATATATAAAACTTTGATTTGGCTGGTTGCCACATATGGATCAGAAATAATCAGATGAATATTTGAACGAAAACAGAAATTGAAGGTATCCTAGAGAGCAAAAACATTGTACGCTTCATAAAAGCCCACCGTTTCAGGTGGACTGGACATGTCATGAGAATGACAAATCATCGGCTACCAAGAAGAATGCTCGAGTCTACCATGACAGGGAGACGATACCAAGGTCGACTTTGAAATCGCTACAAGGATGAATTGGAGAGGGATCTTCTGAAGTGTGGAGGTGCGAAATTGGAAAGGCAGAACTGCAGACTGAGATGGATGGTGCGAAGTCGTGAAGCAGATTAAGGTTCACCCCGAGCTGTAACGCAGAAGAAAAAGAAGAGGATGTTTTACGCTATGGAAGTTAGGTTATGTCCAGTTTTAAAAAAAAATGTGCGCTATTTATACAAAATCTACATTTCAAACGAAAAAAACACACTAATCTATAAAAATTATTAACATTTAATTGATTAGAAATTGTATGAAGAGACAATGCACAATTAACTATGAATTTGACAAATGAATTTTACGAGGGACACAGTATTAATAACGGGTTCATTCTTTATAACGGACATTGTCTCAAACTGTTCATAAAAGGGAATTTATCAGTTTAACATCAAATAATTAATCTATACTATCCCAAAACCAGTTACAGTTTCCAAATGAACATTCAGAGTAAGTCAAAAGGATGGGAAATCTCAGAACTTAAGATACTAAGTATAAATGTTCGTGTTTACATTTATATGCAACCAATGTAATATTGTTCAATGATACATGATAATAACACATGATGAATTCATGCAGAAAGATGCATGATGCGGCCGGTTTGAATATTGATTAGATTTTGATCACTTAATCTTGTCTGTCAAATTATGTCGAATGTAAAAAATGATGTTTGTGCTTATCAGCTTCAACTAATTATAATAAAAATATGGAAGGGATTGTCAAAATAGACTGGAACGGTCGGAAGTATAGAGTCAGAATTAGTGAAATGTGCTCCAACACTATGTGAGCTTTTGCTTTCTTTAGGATGCGATCCTTCATCCACACTTATTGCGTTTTCCTGCACCTTCCACAGCCATCTAGCCTAATGCCCCTTTCAGTCTTCCTCTCTTTCATTATCCACCATGATTTTCCTTGACGACTTACTTTCTTCACAAACGAACTACAAATCCTCGCCAACTTAAACCTCTCATAGACTTTGTGAATCTAGTTACTATTAGTTCTTCGTATAGAATACAAAGCCCATGGTTTTACTGTGTCCTCCAAATTCCATCCTGACAGACAGTGCTTTATATTCACTTTAAAATCGTTCCTGCAATGAGATTTAATATGTTTTCATTCCTTTGTAATTTTTATTTTAAACATTACGTAGGATTAGGACAAATCTAAGGATAAGTTTTGTATATTAAAGTATACAATAAATGTGCTTCTAATTAGGAGCCTACTTCCTGTATAAATTCTTTGTGGTTTTATGGACCACAAAGAATTTGTCAAAATTAATGTTTTTCGATGTTTCTATATTACATTGTTATTATATGTAATTGTGGTTCCCAAATGTCCAAAATTGTCCACATGCTCAAATAAATCGCAGCCAAACAGGTTGAGAATTTGTACGGTGGTATTCGTATAGGTCTGTATCTACTTTCAATCCTTCTTTACTATTTTTTTTTATTTAAGACCTTGTCATGTTTTATTTGTCAATTACTCCCAATTTGGCTGATTTGAATCGTTGTATTAAATTAAATTGAAGGTAATGATTGAGATTCGTAGCAACATCTGAAACCGAAAAAAAGTTTTTTCGAGGTTATCTCTAACCTCCTAAATGAAAATAATTTTCTACATTCCTCATCGCCTTTTTGTCATACTGTTTAAACAATAAAATAAAGCACTAATTAACAACATTGTAGTTAGTTCAGTTTATTTCAACTTTACAATATAATTAGCTAAAATTATTGATCTTAAGTCAAAGTCTTCTTTGAAATCCTTCTTAGTAATCCTTGGGATATATGGCTATTCTGGCGATTTATAGCATTTACATGATATCAAAGGTAATTCTGACACATTAATGATAACAGAAAATTCTTAAGTTAATCAACAATACTAGATAACTATAGCATTGTTTGGTACTATTTGTATTTATGGAATTAATGATTCTATAAAATTATGTGAATCATGCTATAACGATGGTATTAGAGGCAGTTTTTTTGCTA